ATAATAAACGGTCATGACACTCCTATACCCCACGAGGACCTGATCCAGCACGAAACAGGCTGTCGTCCAGACTTAACCCGATACAACTATCGCAGACGTCGTTCCCCGTCACCCCCCAATCGTCAGGACGATGAGGAGGAGCTCCCATGTGAGTTTTGCTCTAATTTGATACCTGCTTCTCAATTGTGGCGCCATCAAGAAACATGTAACTGATTTTATAAGGCTTTATGGGAGTTAGTGATTGAAAATGTTTTTTCTTTTTGTTTCTTTTTGTATTGTAACGGTTCTTCAACTGTTTTTTGATTAACTTTTGTTTATTTTAATTCATAATTGTCAAAATATTTCGAAATATTAAAAGGTAGGCTGCTCTGTTTGTTTCAGTCATTAAAAAATGTCTTTAAAATGGCATAACTTAAGTTTTAGTCAATATGCTCTTCTAAAATGATTTAATTATGTTAGAAATTAATTAAGTTGATTAAGTTTGCTCAAAACTTGGTTAATGTGGTTTAAATGACTTTAAAACGTTATTGTTTATTATATTTATGACTTACGTTGGTGCTTTTTCCCTGTAAAATTATTTTAAAGAAGGCATTTTGTCTTCCAGATATAATCAATAGCTTTAACTATAAAAATAAACTGTTGATATGTTTATCGGAAATGTTATTAAATAGTTTTTTATTTTGTTTATACAATTTCGCATGACTTTAACAAATAAATATTAAAAAAATAAGTCTTATTTGTTTTACACAATATTCAACGAATTCGATTAAAAACAATTTAATTATGCCTTCCTTTACTTTATTTTTGCCAAAATTAAAGAAATGTCGCCAAAATAGCGAATTGATACCGTAAATTAACTTGGAGTAAATTTATGTTAAAACTTTCCGATTATCCCTTATATTGCAACTAAGGAATTACAGAATGTCCCTCGTATTTCACTATCTGAAGTGACATCTAGCGGCGGGTAGTCAAATATAATTTTATTAAGTTTGCAGGTTTCGACAGTATTACAGAGAGCTACTACAGTATAAACGGCAATTACTGTCAATGTATAAGCTATTTTATCTCAACGCAATGAAAACAATAAATTACTATTATTTAGCAAAAATAAAACTAACGAAAGCGTTTAGATCGTTTTTGATTTTTTGCAGAAGTTCGATTTTGGTTCCTATCTTGACCGAAAAAACGTTAAAAAGAACATAAGTAATCATATTTTGACAAAAATAAAGCAAGTCACAGCTAGTTCTTATCATTTATTAAATAATTATCAAATCAGTTGTCTTTTACTGGCGAATTAAGCAAAAATTTTGTCCTAATGTTCGATTTTCGTTCCCAAAAACAATCGAAAGTTGAAGTTAATTCCGCTCTTTAATTCTGAACTTGGAAAAAGATCCAATGCAACTTATGCTCTCCTAATACAAATCTTGGAATTTATGAAAATTTTCGATTTTGAGCCAAATACAAGGGTTGGTCTGAAAGTAATGGAAAAATCAAAAATTTGAAAAAAGACCCATTGCAACTTATGCTCTCCTAATACAAATGTTGGAATTTATGAAAATTTTCGATTTTGAGCCGAATACAAGGGTTGGTCCGAAAGTAATGGAAAAATCAAAAATTTGAAAAAAGACCCATTGCAACTTATGCTCTCCTAATACAAATGTTCGAATTTATGAAAATTTTCGATTTTGAGTCAAATACAAGGGTTGGTCTGAAAGTAATGGAAAAATCAAAAATTTTTTCCATAACTTTTCGACCGGCCGTCGTATATGACGCAAAA